ACCCGAGGAAGGACAGTGTGAAAAACTTTCTATGTTTGCTTGACTACAGTAGGAAAACCTGTTCCTCATTGTCCTTCCACTGTCTACCATGTTATCTCCAGATTATCACTGTGGAATTCTTCCACCATTCCCGTTGTGTTATCCATGTCTGTATAACGATCCCTCCTCGGATAGTTAGTTCTTTGGCGATGGGGAATGATACTTCTCTTCTTCTTCTGTTTCTTTCCTTAGTCTTACAATAGCACTAGGCCTCTGCCTATGTTACCGATAGTACAAGACCTTTGTCTTCTATCGGGAACGCCTATCGTAAGCTTTCTCTAACTCTTCTTCATGAAGAACTTCCCTTGGCATAATGATAACGTTGCAATAAAGATAAAGATCGTAAAGGTGTTTTATATTTGTTAAAGTAATAAGTAGGAAAAGTACTTAGAATTCAATCTAATTTTATTTATACTAGTACCGCCAACACTGGCATACGACCAGTCTCTCCCACGCCCCATAAAAAACAAACTATCTAAAATACACTACCATGGACTACTCCGCCTCGCAACTGCTCCTCCTAAACATAAATCCAAAAATCACTACCTATGTGGGCTCATGGGCGCTCGCAGCAACTAATGCCGCCCTAGATTAAAGCGTCTTCCCACCTCGCCACCCAGCCACCGTCTCATTCCCTCACTCCTATGCGCCTCCAACACAATTTGACACACATACTCAATAAAAGAATCATAAAGTCTATTCCAACATCCCTTCGTCCTCTTGTAATGCAACCTCAGGTCCAAGTATCCTTCTGTCAACACCACCCCACAAAATAGGCATCCGGGTTCCTTCAGGAATCCATTCACTTTGGCCCACCTCAAGACCACAGACGTCCACATCGCCAGGTTCAGATCATCCCACTGTAAATACCTAGAGTGCCAAAACCAATTGTGACAAATCCGTAAGCACCGGGGACGTCTCTTGAAGTATTCCGCGAAGGTGGTGCATTTCTTTGTTACTATAGTGGTAATGGTGGTACCACAACAGGGACAATCGCACCGTCGCTTGTCAGGCAAAAAGAACCACTTCTTGGGCATTGTCACCTCGCCTGGCAAGACGCAGCCACTGCTATTGTATCTCTTCTCATACTGGGTGCAGGTCGTAGGGTCTCCTATAAGTATCAATTCTCCATATCTTTCCACCATCAGTGTGCTGTCAAAGGGGTTACCTGCCACAACCACTTCCCCATCTACCAGTCCAATATTGTGAGGGATTCCCAGGCCCAGCCACCGATGATCTATCCAGCAGCATTTCTATCTCGGGATTGCCGAATCCTTATATAGATCTTCATCAGCAGGGCATCCTCTAGCATAGCAGGGGCACTCAGTCCAGTAGTACTGGTCTTCCTTCCCGTCACATCTGTCATGGCCGACCATACCGGTTCCACTACAGATCCCTATCAAAGCATAGGAATCCATCCGGGTTAGGCCTCGGAGGTGTCGAGGCACCTTCAGTTCCCAAGCATAATACCCGTGCCCTTTCCAAGTATGCCAAGTCCCCTATTCCTCTTTACAGAGCTCCCGAGCCAGGGCTGCATGACCAATCCCAAAGCTAACCCCTTCCCAAAGCAGGGGGTACAAGGGGCGTCCGATACATGCCTTAGCCTTCAAGTCGACCATCTCATTGCCATCAATGTTCACGTAACCAGGGACCCAACCAAAACTAACATCTTAGAATGCATTCAACAGGGGTACCATTACCTTCCATAACTCAGCCGAGTCACTATCGGAAAACAT